TGGATGCGCATGGCCTGATGGGGCGAGACACACTCTCACACACTGCAGACGAAGCTCTGGTGTGACTGTATATATGTTTGTTTGACCAGGTGACGGCATGAACATGGTGTGTAAAGTGTCGACAAATTTGACAAATATTAGAAGATAATTCAAGTATGACACAAAAACTACCCAAACACTGGGTTGTTACGTCTGACCCAGGAGCTGGATAACATAGAAACTACCCAAACACTGGGGTGTTACGTCTGACCCAGGAGCTGGGTAACATAGAAACTACCCAAACACTGGGGTGTTACGTCTGACCCAGGAGCTGGGTAACATAGAAACTACCCAAACACTGGGTTGTTACGTCTGACCCAGGAGCTGGGAAACATATAAACTACCTAAACACTGAGAAAATAACCCAACCTTTACCCAAAAGTCACAGAAAAATAACCCACGATTGTTTAGAGTGTGTGCATATATACAGTCAAACCGAGAATGATTCAGGCACCAGATATGATTTTTGATATTGTTCCACTAGTGTGATCAGGACACTATAGTTCATTTCTGTAAGTGAGGAGAGCAGAATAAAGTAAACTGACATATTACACCCAAATATTCTTCATCCAGTGACTACCAGTAACAATGATTCCTCCACTTTGAGCTGATCATGTTTTGCTGAAGTGTGTTTTCTGTAATTGCTAATGCTCTTTTTACACACACACTGAACAACATGAAGCATTTCTTGGTCACTGGTTGAGCTAAACTGGTATTATCTAATTGTGGAGTTCAATTTAACAGCTGACAGATATTCAACATAATTCATGTGTGAGAGTCTAACAGAAGGACGGACAAAACCAGTCAAATATCCACTGAGTTCTGCTCAGATTTCATTACCATTTTATAAACTATAGCGAATATTAGGGGTGTAACAATATATCGTGTCACAATATATCGCAATACACAAATAAAATCAATATGTATCGTGGATAATTGACCCAAAATAAAAATTACTGTGTGAGAAATTTTCTTTTAGTGAGTTTTAGTGTCATTACTCTGTTATATATAATGTTGAATATAATATACAGGTGAAACTCGAAAATTTTGAATATGGTGCAAAAGTTCATTTATTTCAGTAATTCAACTTAAAAGGTGAAACTAATATATTATATAGACTCATTACATGCAAAGTGAGATATTTCAAGCCTTTACTTGTTATAATTTTGATGATTATGGATTACAGATATGAAAAGGTTTTTATATCTTTACGCCATAATTATCAAAATTATTACAAATAAAGGCTTGAAATATCTCACTTTGCATGTAATGAGTCTATATAATATATTAGTTTTACCTTTTAAGTTGAATTACTGAAATAAATGAACTTTTGCACCATTTTCTAATTTTTCCAGTTTCGCCTGTACATTCTTATCAGTTCTTGCTTTCCCTGGGAATCGAACCCATGACCTTGGCGTTGCAAGCGCCAGCGCTCTCCTGTGTGAGCTGCAGGAAAGCTGTGAGTATATGTGGTTCTCCTGCACGCGGGCGCAGGCGCGCTGTAAGGCGGTGTGGGCGGAGCTGTACCTCCAGGTCTTTGGTGATGGGGTGCGTCGGGCCGTGTGTGATCAGCAGGATGGCGTAGGCTTTGCAGATCATGCCGTGGCCGACCTCGATCAGTCCCGCCTGCCAGTGCGTCACGCCGGCCCGCATCGTGGCCATTCCCAGCTGAGCGTTGTTGGGATGGTACAGTTTTCTATTTCAACACACAAACATATAAAGACGAACTGTTATGCCTTTTCTCAAGTCTAGATGTTGTTTAAGGCTCTACTAGAATAGATTTGCATGCATTATTTCCCCAAAGCTATAGGAGTATTATGAGTGATCATACACACCTCGTGAATTTTAGTGTCTAACAAATCGATAAGTTCCCTTTTGTACCGGAAGCCATTCATATTTGTAATGCGCATTTTTTATTACGGATTTTTGAGGTGGTGATTACTTTTTTCTTTTCTTTTTTGTGAATTTTATTATAAAGCATTGGAATGTTGTAATATGTGTATGTGGAATATTAATGTTTCTAATGTATGTTTTTTAGTTTGTGATGTGATGCCACTGCCTTAATATAATTACCCCTTGTGGGATTAATAAAGTGGTTAACTTAACTTAACTTAACATGCACACACACACACACACACACACTCACTCTCTCACTCACTCACACACACACACAATCTCACTCACTCACTCACTCACTCACACACACACACACACAATCTCACTCACTCACTCACTCACTCACTCACTCACTCACTCACTCACTCACTCACACACACACACACACACACACACACACACAATCTCACGAGTTGTAAGTTATGCAATTTTTATTATTAATATTGTCTGGTTTGTAAATTTGTTGTATGTTTACTGTATACTGACGGCAGCATGGGTGATGGCCCAACACAAATTTCCCTTCGTGGGACAATAAAGTTTTTACTTACTTACTTACACTCACTCA